AGTAAAATGATATTAATTTATATATTCTCTGTTTAAGATATTATGAAAAAGATAAATAATATTTATGGGTAATAAATGAACTAGGGTTTTTAGCCCGGCTCGTGAAGGCCTGATCTTACATATCTAAAATTGATTATTCGAACCATACTTGAATTTATATAAAAGTTCATTCAATAAAAATGTCTCAGACTCAAATTCAAAAAGTCTGCTAATTTGTATTTGTATTTTATATTTTTTATATTACTCATAATAGCCCTCTCTCTTTAATCCATTTCACCCTCATTTTATTAGTTAAACAGATTTTTTGAATGATTTTATTCTATATTATGCTACTTGGATATATATTGAATTTATGAATTTTTGTGGAATTATTATTGTTGTTGATCGTATATTTTGTTTAGATAAATTTTGATTGTTTTATTTTTTTAACAAACTAATAAGCTAAACCAAATTTTTATTTTTTTGTAAATAAGTTAGATCACAGTCTAATAATTATATTTGTAACAAATTAGCTAACACAATTAAATAAAAACTTAGCCTTTTCAACCAAAATTCGGTCCTTAAAACCCCCCCCCCCACACTGATATTTATTATCTGCTTTTTCTTTTCCTCCTATTACAATATGTTTTCCCATTAATTCTTTGAGCTCAAACGTTTGACGGTGCAACTCCAACCAGAAGATATTTCCAATATGATTTGACTCCTTATACCGATATAAAACAGGCTCATGTGGTAGGTCATATATAAAAATAACACTCCAAACTCGCATATAATTTAAGAATATGATATTTTACTTATTTTTTTTCTTGCCTGTCTTATTTATTTATATTTAATATTGTTAGATCAAAATTTTATTTCTTCTCTTTCCTCTTGAGATTATGATATAATGATATTAAAGATAAATACATAAGGTAGACAAGAAAAAAATATAAAAATAATAACTTATCCCTAAAAATTAACACCTATTTTCATATGTTAAATGAGGATGATTGTATTACATACTTATTTTTTACGAACTCTTATAAATTACATTATGTACTAAGGGGTAGTATATTATTTGCAACAATGTACGACCCCTAGTACATAATGTAATTTACAAGAGTTCGTAAAAAAAAATTATAAATATATTTTTTTCCATATTAAATATATTTTTAAATTTAAGTTATAAACCCACATATAAAAAAAAATTATTATCATATAATTAAATTTGTTCATAAATTTATAAAAATCATGTCACACTTTTTTTCTATAAAATTGTTATTAGTGTTTTATATTTTATAAGTTTATTCATTTTATGGAAAATGATTAATTTATATTGATGTATGAATAATGAGAGTAGATCTTCTCATGTGAAAAAGTGATTATATTATTTGATCACAATCACTCATTGATGATGAGATAAGAGAGAGAAAATTATATAATTTTTAAATGAGTGGTTGTGATCAAATAACATGAACACATGATTAGGGGTGTTAACGGGCCGAGCCGAGCCGAGTTTTGGTCTGAAAAGGCTAAGTCTGTGTTTAAATGTGTCGGCCTTACCAAGCCTGTCACCTGTTACGAATATATGATCGGCTTGTGGCCTGCCTTATTTACAAAAAATAAAAGCCTGATTTAGCCTGTTAGCATGTTCAAAAGAAATAAGACAACAAAAATTTATCCAAACATAATATACAATCAACAACACTAGTAATTTCATAAATATTCATAAATTCAATGTATATCCAAACAGCATAATATAGAATAAAATCATTCAAAAAGTCCATTTAAAGAATAAAATATGATGAAATGGATTGAGAAGAAAGAGACGGCTATTACAAATAGTATAAAAATATAAATAAAAATAAAAATTAATACACTTGGTCAGCCTGAGAGGCTCCAAGGCCGAGCTTTTGAATTGGAGCCTGCGACCTTTTTACTAAACGAGCTTTTATACAAGTCCAAACCTGGTTCCAACAACTAATATTAGGCATGTAAGCTCAGGCATTCACGAGCCGAGCCAAAAGCCCCTAAAAGGCCTCTGGCTCGTTTATCACCCCTACACATGATCACTTTTACATATGAGAGGATTTACTCCCATGAATAATAAGTTCTATCTCGCACTTAACAATTTTATTTTATTAGTTACATTAATAGTTAGATGCAACAGGTGTTTGAAATTTTGACGGATCGAATTAATTTGATTTCGGGTTTCTGATTTCCAATTTCTATTCTTCCTAAGGTGGTGTTTGTTTCAGGTTTTTGTCAAATTTTTCTGGGGAAGTGATGCATGCATTCTAGTAACTCCATGTTTGGTTCATTGATTTCTATTTTTTTACCCATATTTCCTTGTTGTCCATCTATCTTGCATTGTGTGTGATTTGTCTGAAAATCACTGTTACAGATTGCTTCCTAGAAGGTGGTATTTTGTGTAAAAACTGAAGAAGTTGAAAAAGTGACAAAAGTGATATAAATGGGTGACTGTATTAACCCTCACACTAGTCAACCTCTTGCTTACTACTACAGCTCGTGGCTAGCGTATATGTTCGTCTATATAAGGATCAGTTCGAGATATCGAAAACAGGTTGGTCACGACTCTCTTTGGGTTGGCGAGATTCATTATGAACATTCACTTTACCTCGCCTCTCTCCGTTACTCTATTTTTTAGCTTCTTTGACTGATTTGTTCGTTGATAGAAAGTTCCACCTTGCCGCTGATTTTGGGGTTTAGTTCTATCAAGTAAGGTAAGGCCACCTCTGAAGAGAACCTGCTGGAACTTGGATTGCTGAGGCTGCGTGGATATTACTGTTTGGAAAATTGTTAGTATAAAGGGCAATTTTTAAAAGGATAGTTTCGTAATTTCAATTAGTTTCCCATCAATATTTTATATTCAACCAAACACACTCTTCAGGAATTTCACTTAATTTTCCTGGTAAAATTGTACTCAACCAAACAACATTTTTTTACATTTTCTTACCAAACATACTTTCCAACCATTTTTCTATCAATTACATTTTCCTAGTATTCAAAAAATTTCTCTTTAACTAAACACCCCTAAGAGTTATAACTTCCATTTTTATTTATATCCTCGAGTTCAAACCGAATCACTATTAAATTAACTATATCTTGGATATAATAATAATTATTTAAAAGTACAAAAAAATAATTATTTAAAATTATTAATTTTTCATCATATAAATAAAAGTATATGAGATTCATGTAAATAAAAAAGAGAAAAAAGTCACAAATCTTATATATTTTTATGTATATATAAAAATAAAATTATTTCTTTAATACAAGAAATACTAATCCGTTATTTAAATGAGGAAAAACCAATTGACATGGATGCAGCGATAATAAATTTTATATTTAATATATAAATTATTAGATACAAGAGAAAGGTGTAAAATTTATTATTATTGCCAAGATTATAGTTACAATCTTTTTTTCTTACAACCTCTTATAATCATATTTTATTACCGTTAGTTTCTGTCAATCAACGATTATTATTTTAGTAAATTAAACTCATTAATTAATTATTAATTCACAATAAATAATAATTGTTTATTGATGAAAATCAACAATAATAAAATTAATTGTAAGGAGTTGTAAAAAAAAAAATTATAAGCATGTTCTTTCTCTGTTGCTTCATTGTGAAATGTTAAAATGCGTGAAAAGAGTAACATGGTACTAATCAGCTTTTTTTTTTTTTGATAACAGGTACTAATCAGCTTTTCCTTTGTCAAAAAAGCGAAAGGAAGAGTGTTTCACTTTGATATTTTCAAAGAGAATCTTCGTTCATTTTACTGATATTTTCAAACCAACTAACTATTCACAACGCAGACAAAAAAACTGAAAAAAGAGATAAAGCCTTTGCCGGTTGGTTGGTTAAGGAAAATGTTCAAAGGGATTAATATTTTGGGAAGGATATTGTCACAATTAAGTTGTGTTACTATCAAGTGACTACTAATCAATCTCACTTTTAGATCGATTACGTTGATCCAACGGTTATATTTATTTTCATCTTTGTATGGTCATGATTCCCCATATTTAAAGTGAAAGCATTAAATATGAAAAATTATAACCATACAAAGGTGAAAATAAATATAAAGTATTAAATTTGGAAAATTATGACCATATAAAGATGGAAATAAATATAACCGTTGGATCAATATAATCGATCTAACGATAAGATTGATTGGTAATCACTTGGTAGTAACACAACTTGGTTGTCACAATATCCTTCCTCTAATATATTTTAGGAGATAATTTTATTTTCATATAAAAGTACATGGATCTATATAAAGCTATATAAAGAAAAAGAAAAGAAAAATATATGAATTTTATGTATTTTTATATATGTACAAAAAGTAAAATTATTTCTTAAAACATAAGAAAGACTAATTTCATGTTAAAATCAACAAAAGAATAAGGAAAACCAATCCAATGGCAATTACTGATAGAACCTTTCACTCCCTTTTACGTTCATTTAAAATAATAAAAAGAAAATGCTAATGGAGCGGCAAAAGATAATGGTCAGGTTTTGTGACTATCTCAATTCACACTCTTAAGACAAAACGGTCACAATCACATCATATACAACATAACTTGATCATTTATTTAAGTAAAATATTTTTCTCATTTTGTCTGTATAACTCTCTCATGTTATACACTCATCAAATTTGTATCAATTTTTTTCATTTCTTTTTCTTTTTGTTTTAAAATATGGACCCCACATATTTAACTCACACATATAAAAGAATTATCTCAAGTAACATGAGATTAATAACTGTCTTTATTTAATTTCAGAATTTTAACACCCTTTCGGTTGATTTTCAACAATTTTTTTTTTAAATAATTTTTTTTAATTAAAATTTCTTTAAAGAAAAACTAATTAGTCTTTTTTTCTCCAAAATAAACTAATGTAAATGCATGAAGTTGAAGTGCATAGATTTCTTTACTTCACCATACTATGATGGCAATCTGGTCACAAAGAAAATAAAAACAAGAGAGTGAGTGGTTCTGACTTCTGAGTCTGTGTCTGAGTGAACAGTTAGCACAGAAACAGGAATTTTGATATCATGTCAGATTCTTTCCTAATCTGTTCCTAATTTTTCTGTTTGTCTCTTTTTTTAAGGCCGGCAGTGGCAGTGGCAGTGGTACTCACACCTACCTCTTCTATTTTCTCCCTAAAAACCTTTTCTTCTCTTCCATTTCCCCATGTATTAAATTTTCACGCTTTTGTGAAAATGCTCATGCAAGTTTCCATTTTTGGATTCTGGGTTACCTGCTTATTGTTTCTTATCATTAGCTGATGTGTTTTTTTTTTTTCAGGTGGATTTGGAACTGTAGTTTGTTGCAACAAGTTGTTCAACTGGTTGTTGTTGGATTTTGATTCATGGAGGTCAAATTTGGAGGGAAGAATGAATGTTTGTGTTGACCTGTGGTGTCAGAAATGAAGGGTGTTGAGAATGGGAAGAGAAGTTTGGAATGGGATTTGAATGATTGGAAATGGGATGGTGATCTTTTCACTGCTCAACCACTCAATTCAGTGCCATCAGATTGTAGGAGTCGCCAGTTACCCCCAAATCATCCTGAAATTCCTGCAAAAATTGCTAATCCATGTATCAACTCAGAGGAAGGAAAGAGAGAATTGGAGAAAAGGAGGAGAGGTGTTATAGATGAAGGTGGTTCTCTTAATTTGAACCTTGGGGGTCAAGTTTACCCTGTCATGGTGGAAGAGGAGGAAAAAAGTGGAAAGAAGACAAAGGTAATTGGGACTTCTACATCTAACCGTGATGTTTGTCAGGTGCAAGATTGCGGTGCTGATCTTTGTAATGCCAAGGATTACCACAGGAGGCACAAGGTTTGTGATATGCATTCTAAGGCTACTATGGCACTAGTTGGAAATGTTATGCAGCGTTTCTGTCAACAGTGTAGCAGGTCAGTTAGGTTACACAAATGATCATTTCTTGGGGTACTCGTTTCAAATTAATTAATATTTTTGTAGATGTTCAAAAAATAAAGATGAAATTTCCCCCTCTATATTTTTTGTAGTTGAGTCCCAAGTGTAAGCTGTTTAAAAGAGTAAAAAAAAAATTCAGGGCATTTTCTTTGGCACTCAAGTTGAATGCAACTTGTTAAATTTATGGCAGGTTTCATGTTCTTCAAGAGTTTGATGAAGGTAAGAGAAGTTGTCGTAGGCGTCTGGCAGGCCACAATAAGAGGAGGAGGAGGAGAACTCATCCTGATGCTACTCTAGTTAATGGAGATTCTGTGAACGATGAAAGGGGCAGTAGCTATCTGTTAACGACGCTGATACGAATACTGTCCAATATGCACTGTGAGTATTTGTGACATCAGAAGTTATCTGCTTGGCATTCTTCATAATTTGTTTATTTGGCTGCTGCTCTATGAAACTGAAATGATCATCAATCCAAGCTACTTATTCGTGCTGTTTGAGAAGAATTTTAGTGGTAAAATCTTAATATGGTACGTTTAATCAGTGTTGATACTTGATGCTAATAAAGATAGTTTGGACATGTGGTATCTTGAAGTTCAGATGAGTGGGGCTTATTTGGGTAGCCTAGTTCTGCAACTGGTATTCTTGTACTTTATGGCCATTGTATTTGTATGGCAAACCATGTCAAAGATACTGTTGATTTTATTTTATTTTTTAAAATAAGAAATCTTAGTAGCTAGATGACTTGAGGAGTCTATTTTTCTCCTATGATAAGCTTCATCTATAGGCAATATTGAAAATGTTTAACTCCACTTTGAATTTAGAACCTAGGTGTTTTATCTTTAATGGTATAGCTTGAACTCGAGAATGAATCCTCTCATGTTAAAATTTCACGTCACCTTGTCACGTGAATTTTTTTTGTCTATCTCTTTTTTTGTAATTATTCATAAAATTTAATAGGATCCTACCTATTTAATATCTATAAAGAGAGAGATAGCGACAAATTTTCACATGATAATGTCATATCAAATTTTAACGTGGGAGGACCCATTTATCTTCTCTACCATAGACTTTCATCTGCATAAATAGGAAAATTATGCAGGCAAGCGGAGTTAGCCACTTGGTCTTTGACATCTTATCAGGAACCAGACCAGATTGAAATTGATTCTCCAAAATTTTGATTGGCGTGAAGTATTTGATGAAAATGTATGATAGTGTGTTTTGTTGTCTTTCCTGAGTGTACCATCATTATCATTATTTACTTCCTTTTATCTATATATGCCCTCTTCTGACTTTTGGACGCATTCCTATTGCAAAGCTAGTAACCCTGAAGGTTTCTTCTGCTGAAACATTTCTTGAAAAAGAAGAAAGTTGCTTTTGTTTTGAGCTTAAACTAATGTCTCTGCTGTTGAAACTTTCGTGTCTTTCCACCCTCATTGTGGATGTCATCATTGGCACATTTATTTGACTCCACAGATTATGCCTTCTATAAATTGCAGCAAACGACTCAGATCATACAAGGAACCAGGATATTATCTCTCATCTGCTTAGGAACCTAGCAAGTCTGGCTGGTACAATTAATGGAAGAAGTGTAGCCTCCTTACCGGAGGGATCTCAAGGTGTGGTAAATGCTGGGACACCTGGAGCTGTGCATCCAGAAACCTCCAGGCCTTCCGGTTCGTCCATCAAGACAGATAATGGCTTCATCTGTCAGGACCCTCCAAAGTCTGTGGCACAATGTGAGGCAGTGCCTGCTTATGGTATGACACAAAAATGTATACCTTCAGGTGATGGTAGAGTAGGAAATTGCAAACCTCCTTCGGGAGCACAACCCTCGAATGTACTTCTATCAAGGGATAGCCTTCCATCCCAATTAATTGCGGCAGAGACTACAGTTGGAAGGGACAACTTAAATAACATTGACCTGAATAATGTATATGATGATATACAGAATAGTGTTGAAAATTCTAAGAAGTCTTATCCTCCTGTGGCTTCAAAGATTGGATCTATTGATCCTCCTTTGTGGTTGCAATCTGACTCTCTCAAGTCAAGTCCACAACTGACTAGTAGAAATTCAGATTCAACCTCTACCCAATCACCATACAGTTCCAGTGGAGAAGCTCAGGTATATTTTTGATGTAATTTGAACTCACTTCCTTATTTCTGCATAATTTGATAACGCTGCTATTTGCCTTTGTATTGAAAAATCTAGGCTTGTCTAAATGATTGTTTCAGATTGTTGTTTAGATCTCTTTACTGATAATGATCCATTTTTGCCAAGGTCATATTTGAGGTGTATTTTTTAGTTTCATTTACCTTTTCATTAGTGTGTTGATCTATTTTTTATGGCTGTCAGAAGAATGTATTAATTGGCGTGTTATTTGTTTACTGTGTTACAGAGTCGCACAGATCGAATTGTTTTTAAACTCTTCGGCAAGGATCCAAATGATTTTCCCCTTGTTCTCCGATCGCAGGTACTTTCTGTGCCATGAAATTACTATGGACAATTTTACTGCACTATTTCTTTGTGCCATGTTTAATTTGCAGTTTCTTTTGTGTTCCAGATCCTCAACTGGTTATCCCACAGTCCCACAGAGATAGAGAGCTATATAAGGCCAGGCTGTATCTTGTTAACAATATATCTCCGTCTGGAAAAGTCTGCATGGGAGGAGGTATTGTTTGATATAATGCCGCAAATGCAGGTTGCTGCTGGATGAAACCATTTGAAAGGGGGAAAAAATAATCTAAATGTGCTTATTACTATTTTGATATTTCAGCTCTGCTGTAACCTAGGATCCAGCTTGAGAAAGCTTCTTGCTGCATCAAATGATTCTTTTTGGAGAACAGGATGGGTATATGCAAGGGTGCGGCACTCTGTAGCTTTTCTGTATAATGGTTTGTTCTCCCTCAATTTGTGTGTTGTGTGAGCATTCCCCTCATCTGATTGTATTTTTTTTGCTTCAGCAAAAACTTCAATCATTTTAACTTGGTTACTAGAAACTGTTTTTCATTTCATGTATCTTTCCTGCAGGTCAGGTTATCTTGGATGTGCCCTGGCATTTTAAAAGCCCACAAAATTTTAGGATTTCATGCATTAAACCACTTGCTGTTCCTGCAAGTGCAAGTTCTCAATTTATTGTGAAAGGATTCAACCTTTTGCGGTCTAGCACAAGGTAAAATCTCTTTACATTTGATGATATTCAAATTTGTTGAGTTGAAAGGTTCTAGCTACATTAAATCATTTGCGCATTGGCAGAGGCTTATGCTGAGCTACACAGTAATTATTTCTGTTTGAGATATATCATACTGGTGGGTATACAATTCCATGAGAAGAGATTAGAAAAAGGTAAAAACAGTAGAATGTTGGAAACATGATCTGGTGGGATTTTGAAAGAAAAGGCAGCCTCATTTGCAAAATATTATGCAATATATTTATCCAGCCACTGAATTTGTAGAGGGACGAGAAGGGGGGGGGGGGGGGGGGGTGGACTGGAAACAAAACCTAAGGGTCTGTTTTTTGATTGTGTCCTACTTCTTTTTGTTCTTAAAACTGTTTTGTAGAATAGTTATGGAAACAAGTGTTCTCTGTGTTCTTTCTTTGTTTTGAAAGTTAAAAGTCAAAACAAAAATAACTCGGACATGTTTTCTAAATTTGATTCTAAAAACAAAAAAACAGTTACAATTTTTAAAATATTTTTTATGCCTTATCAAACGGGTTTTTTTGTTCAAAAAACTGTTTTTAGAAACAGTATTCAAACTGGGCCTTATCTCCAGGGTATAAATTTGATTTTTGCTAGCTGCCTGAGTACATTATTTTCTGTCTATGATTTCCAATGTGGGAAAAATCTAAGTTTTGAATTTTGTTTATTGGGATTGGCTCAGATGTTAATCTGTTGTCGCGATTTTCAGGTTGCTCTGTGCACTTGAAGGGAAGTATCTGGTAGATGATAGTTGTCATGATTTGATTGGTGGAGCTGATGCAGCCATTCAGCATCTCAGCTTCTCTTGTCATATACCCAATGTAACTGGGAGGGGATTTATTGAGGTGGTATCATACACTCATACTCCTAATTTTTTTCTAGGAATTTTTTTGGGGGGGTTTTCTTTTCAGCAAAGTGAAATTTGCTTTAAGTTCATTACGTAAATTTTATTTTGTATGCTGTAAACTTCCTGAAACTAACAGAAAAACACAAAGCTCTGTATCTGGAGACTGGAGCTTGCTTCTGAGATGTCCTTTGTTAATAACTCCTTCGTCAATGCTTCAATATTGCTGTTGTTGATTGCTGGCATTGGGCTACTCTTAGCTTTTGCAAACTTTTAGTTGATATTAGTCCTATATAGTTTAGGTTTTAGGATGAACTCTTGAAAATCCATCTTTCTAAATGAGAATAATGTAAAGCTAGTTCTCCATGCTTTGTTCATTACACCAAACTAAAAAATTTCAAATCCTTTAAAAAAAGATTAAAAGAGTGGCTGAAGAGGCAAGCTATCCCAAGAAAGAAAGCATAAAGATGCAGTTAAAGCAGTAGATTTGAAATGGCATTTTCTGCACAGACCGCTCTTGCACTTTGCAAGCTTCTGAAGCTATATTTTGATAATTTTTTACTGTCAGGTGGAAGATCATGGCTTTAGCAGCTGTTCCTTTCCATTTATAGTTGCAGAGCAAGAAGTTTGTTCAGAGATCTGCAAGCTGGAGAATGTGATTGAGGCAGCTGAGACCACTGATGACATCCAGATAAAAAACAAACTAATGGAAGAAAAGACTCGAGCTTTGAATTTCTTACAAGAAATGGGTTGGCTCCTGCATAGAAGTCATGTGAAAGTTAGGCTAGGTCCCATGGCTCCTATCCATGATCTCTTGCATTTCAATCGGTTCATGTGGCTTGCTGACTTCTCCATGGACCATGGTTTGTGTGCTGTGATGAAAAAACTTTTGGACATTATATTTGAGGGCGGTGTTCATGCAGGAGAGCATACCTCCATTGAGCTTGCATTGTTAGACGCGGGCCTTTTACATGGAGCTGTAAAGAGAAATTGTAGGCCTATAGTGGAACTACTGTTAAAATATGCCCCAATTAAAACTTCAGATGGTGCAGATTGTAAAGTGAAGCAAGTTGACAAGGCCCCTGATGGATTCGTATTTAGACCTGATACTGTTGGCCCCGGTGGGTTGACTCCCCTTCATGTTGCAGCAAGTATGAGTGGCTCGGAGAATGTGTTGGATGCGTTAACTGATGATCCGGGAATGGTAATTCCTTTCTTGTCTGTATGATTTATGTATTTTCAGGCTTTATGTTTGAATTCTTACAAACTCTTGGGGTATAGGGGTATTGGCTGCAAGGAAAAACTTCCGTGCCCAAGTTCAAACCTAAGGTGGCTATGAAGGCTGCATTAGTTTTTCTGTGAATACATAGAGCAAAGTGTCTCTCCCCCTTTTAACCTGATATTTGGTGTGGTGGAATGGAGGTGGACAAAATGGGGTTAGAAATGAGATTAAAGTGAGCTTAAACGATGACTCTCTCCAAATTACAATCCTGAAATTATAGATTGAATAATCTTTATATCAAGTAATTTCTTGAAATGACAAAATTTATCTTCTGCCACACCACCTTGATCACCATTACCATCCCACCTCATTGCTACTATACAAGGGAACTGTTGTCAGTAAAATTTTTTTCTGTCCTGCCATATTCCTAATGCATCTAGTGTTGCAAGGAATGCAAGTCATATCCACACCAAACATCCTTAGGGAAATAAAGATTCCATTCTCTTGTGCTTGCTATTCCCATTCCCAACAAACGAAATACCACCTTGGTGGGGGAGCACTTATGCAGGAAAACTTGTATGGTTTTCAGTACGTTGTATTGATCCAGATTGAATTACTGATGGCAGAATATATCACACAATGTTTTAACATTTTACCCTTATGTCTGCCATGTTCAGATAGGAATTGAAGCATGGAAAAGTACCCGGGACAGTACAGGTTTAACACCCAACGACTATGCATGCATAAGGGGATATTACTCCTACATTCAACTTGTCCAGAGGAAGACCTGCAAAAAACGTGAAAGACAACATGTGCTTGATATCCCTGGTAGTACCCTTGTAGACAGTAACACAAAGCAGAAGCAATCAGATGGGCATAGGACATCTAAAGTTTCAAGTTTTCAGACGGAGAAGATTGAAACCACAGCAATGCCACCACGTCAATGTAGGCTATGCCAGCACAAGGTGGCTTATGGAGGCATGAGAACAGCACTGGTTTATAGGCCAGTCATGCTCTCAATGGTGACCATAGCAGCAGTCTGTGTCTGTGTGGCTTTACTCTTCAAAAGCTCACCTAGAATTTCCTATGCGTTCCAGCCCTTCAACTGGGACTCATTGGAGTACGGGGCAATCTAATGTTATGTTGTATATCAGGAGTCATTAGCAGTAAATAGGCCTGCACATTTTCTTTTTTCTTTTTTTGGTTTTGTGAAACTCTGAAAGTCCCCGTCTTATATATGCATGGTATATATTAGTAGTAGTAGTAGCTGCCATCAAAAGTATATGGGGAAGTCAAAGGTTAACACACTAACTGTTCAGCATTGAATCTTGATTATGCAATATATTAAGTATTGGGTCAATGCAATGTTATTAGGCCATTATTAATAAATATAAAATATTCAGATTTTAGTTTAGTATTCTTTTAGAGACAGGTTATATTTATAAACTTTTTTGTTTACAAATTACACTATGTAGGACCGGTCCTACATTAATCATACAGTGTACGATCGATTCTACATTAGTGTAATTGTAAAAAAAAATTTGTAAACGGATCATGTCCCTTCTTTTTAATTATCATGATTTATATAGTATCTGATTATGGAAAACAGATAGCAGCCATTAGATGCGGGCCAGGGGTGTGGTCAGCGTAATGATAATTAATGATACAAAGAGATATTTGTGCAACATGAGAAAAACCAGTTTTTTAAAGACCAATATATCCCATCCCAGCCATGAGGAAGACTTGTTCTTCAGAGCACGTAGCTCAAAACTTGCACACGTAACCGCTGATGAAACGCGAATACAGTTCATTCACTTAATTTATTCGAGTGTCGTGTAGAATTCAGCATTCTGTTTTTTTTTTTTTTTTCAATGGATGAATATTTTTTTTATAAATTACAACTATCTTTTACATGAAGTAATTTTATTCGGGATAGGTTTAGAATTTAAATTTTAAATTTTTTCTAAAAATAATATTAAGAAGGATTAAATACATAATTTTTATCTCTATCTATTCAATTTTCATATACTAATTGAGCTACCTTCAATCGATACCGGTCTTGATAGTCATTTTTAAGCAATAAAGATTAATGAAACATCTTGGGAATCCAATTCTTATGCAAAAGTCAATCTTCTGTTGCCGCCATCAACTGACCCATATCACCTACTACCCTTGACAAATATACAATCCCCAACTTGATATGATATCATATGAGTTCAGTGATATAATCTACTTTATAATGTAAAAAAAAAAAAAAAGTAAAAATCCTTTTCTCTTCAGCAAATTTTACGAAGCCCGTTTTAGTCTCTAGCAAATAAAAAGGTTCATCATGATCCCTAAGAAATTCAAAATAAACCCATTTAATTGAAATTGTGGTCCCTTAAAAAATTCAAAAAAGACCCATATTAGTCCTTGAAAGGACTAAAATGAGTCCATTTTGAATTTTTAAGGACCACGATGGACTTTTTTATTTTCTAAGAACTAAAGCGGGCATCGTGAAATTTGCTGAGATAAAAAAATGTATTTACTCAACAAAAAAAACATCTACTTTAAAATATTTTAAAATGGGAATGATTATATTTATTACTAATTTTTTTACAATTTTTATTACTAAACTAATTATCAATCTAATAATTATAATTTATTAATTAATTATTAATTTCTAATAATTATAATTATTAGATTGAAAGAAATCAATAATAATTAATTTAATAACGAGAGTTATAAATTTTTTTAATAATAAGTATAAACCTTTCTTCTAAAATTCCATACTTGAAGGAAAACTTTCTTTAATTTCAAAATCAATTAATGAGAACTGATATACTTCTTTCCATATACAAGGGAAGGAGACACTAATTTTCTTTATTTTAATAAAAATACATGCTACTTTATCTTTTTGAAATTGGTCCTACTGAATTTTATTCTGAATCTGAATTATTTTTCATAAACCCTAACATAATGGAGGCTAACCAAAATATTCTTTATTTTTCTGAATCAAAGAAGAGAGAGGAGAAAATGGTCATTTGGAGGGGTTAAGGTTGAGTAGTGAGTTCTCCTCACACTCTCGTCTACTCTTTAGACTAAGCCCTCTACCTATCTGTGAGAATGGCTTCCATATCTCTCTCGTTTTCTTCTTCTATCGTTCCTTCTCCAATTCCCCATGACAAATGCAAGAAAACTCCCAACCCCAGATCCCAAGATCCAATTTTTCGGGTTACCCGCTACGCAATTTCAGCTCCAGCGTCAAAAACTACTTCTTCTTCTTCTGCTGCTGCTTTATCGTCGGTTGTCAAAAGGAGACACTGGAAACAAGGTGAGTTTCCTGGTATTTCGGAAACATCGTTACCTGGGAGTACGAGGAGGAAGCCCATTAAGAATATAAAGAAGAAGTTGGACAAAAAGAACAATGCCAAGGCATGGGTTAACACTGTTACCGAAGCCTTATCTGAAACCATTGACAAGAAGCAGTGGCTTCAAGCCCTCGAGGTTTTTCTCTTTCTTCATAAATTCACCATTTTGCTATCAAAGTCAGTACTTTGTGTCTGAATGTTATGTATTCCTTTTTCTTTTTAAATAAATTTGAGGGTTTCATTCTATAGTGTTCATTTGCTTGTTTCAATTTCATGGCTTGTGTCTTTGATAAGAATTCTAATGAGTTCATAGCTGGGATGAATACTATGCTAAATTGCAATTGTGCTCTTACTGATTCAAATGTGCAGATATTTGACATGCTTAAAGAACAATCCTTTTACCAACCCAAAGAAGGGACTTACATGAAACTCATTGTGTTACTTGGAAAATCCGGTCAACCCCACCGTGCCCATCAGCTTTTTACCACTATGATTGAAGAAGGTTGTGCCCCTACTACTGAACTATACACTTCGTTACTTGCTGCATATTGCAGGAGTAACCTGATTGATGAGGCATTTTCAATTCTTAATGAGATGAAGAAACTTCCTCTTTGCCAACCTGATGTTTTCACTTACAGTACCTTGATAAAAGTTTGTGTGGATGCTTTCAAATTTGAATTGGTTGAGTTGCTATATGAAGAAATGGCTGAAAGATCTATCATGCCTAACACTGTCACACAGAACATTGTTTTGAGTGGTTATGGCAAGGCAGGGAAGTTTGATCAGATGGAGAAAGTGCTGTCAAGTATGCTGGAGAGCACTACTTGCAAGCCTGATGTTTGGACAATGAACACAATCATCAGTGTCTTTGGTAATATGGGTCAGATTGATATGATGGAGAAATGGTATGAAAAATTTCGTAATTTCGGGATAGAACCAGAAACACGCACTTTTAATATTTTGATTGGTGCCTATGGAAAGAAAAGAATGTATGACAAAATGTCATCTGTTATGGAGTATATGCGTAGGTTGCAATTTCCATGGACGACCTCTACTTATAACAATGTGATTGAGGCATTCGCAGATGCAGGTGATGCTAAACACATGGAGTATACATTTGATCAGATGCGTGCTGAGGGTATGAAAGCAGATACCAAGACTTTCTACTGCCTTATCAACGGTTATGCAAATGCAGGTCTCTTCCATAAAGTAATTAGCAGTGTTCACTTGGCTGGGAAGTTTGAGATACCTGAGAATACCACCTTTTATAATGCAGTCTTATCTGCTTGTGCAAAGGCGGAGGATTTGATGGAAATGGAGAGAGTTTTCAAGCGTATGAAAGATAATCAATGTCAACCAGATGACACAACATACTTGATCATGGTGGAGGCATATAGAAAAGAGGGTATGAATGACAAGATATACTATTTGGAGCAGGAAAAGCAAGCGATGATGACTGATGATAAAAAAGTGAGCCAACCTGAGGAAGAAATCTTCAGCTGATTTGTGGTTTATAGTTCAGACTGCTATTACATCTGTGTTCTGTACCACCTCCATTTTTCTGGAGGAAGGAGTGATCAGTTGCCAAGTTGCATAACCAAGCTTCATTTTTCATGATGAATGACAGCAACTCTTGCCTAACTTCTGTGTGTTTACTGTAAAGTTATAAGTTAATTTTTGGCATCCATTTTATTCGCAGAGAAGAATTTAAACATCTGAACCTTTTGTTGTATAGGGTAAGTGAATTGATAATAGAGTTCATTGTTTCGTCACCGCACGAAATAATTATGATTTCACTAATATTGTTGACGCAGGGAACATGTTCCATGTTTTAGGTATTCTTTTTTTTTTTTGTTCAATTTATCACCTTGACTTACAAGTTCTGTGTCCTTTGAAATCCATAAAGAAACAATTTAAATACGTACATATATATTCTTCTAGAACTAAGGGAAAAAGTAAAAGGGCTATCACCATATATAATAGATCCATATATTCTGTAACTGAGGCGAATTCACATTTTTCACTCCATGAAGTAGGAAAGGGATGGACCATGTCGATTTGATATCTTTGAATGCCTTACTCTTTCTTAATAAAATATTTTCAAATATGTCCTAGAATTTGGACTTTGGAGATTAATTAATGTATCTGTGAATGCTCATCTGTAATAAAATAAAAAATAAAAAAAAGGGTTTGTTACGGTATTCATTTTGATTTGATACCTTGACAACGAATTCAGAAGCCATTTGCACGCCAAGATAAAACATATTGCATCATCAACTCTCACAATCAAGCTTAAAAACGCACACGGCACTTTCTATATAATATGTTGAAGTAGAACATGTCATTCATTCTACACACATAAGCTGCTTAGTCTTGTGTTTAGATGGCTATGTTGGAAGGTGAGGATGAGATAGAGTCTCTGAGATTTGAGTTGGCAGAGATTGGAAGGAGTATAAGATCCTCATTTAGAAGCCATGCCTCCAGTTTTCGGAGCATTTCAAATGTTGATAATGATGAGGGTGATGCGTTACCATGGGCTGAAATCCAGAGGCTTCCCACTTTTGAGAGGATTAATTCAGCTTTGTTTGATGTACATGATGGCATGGAAACAAAAGGGAAACAGGTGGTTGATGTCAGCAAGCTTGGAGCTCAAGAACGCCATATGTTCATAGAGAAGCTTATCAAGCACATTGAAAATGATAATCTTCGTTTGTTGCAGAAACTCAGGAAAAGAATTGACAAGTAATCATTTTTCTTTTAGATAGTCCACACACATCTCTCTCTCTCTCTCTCTCTCTCTTAAGTTGCTTGGAGATGTTTCCCTAAATTTATTAAACTGTTAATCATGTCACAAGTCAACTAAATTATTATGCTTCATCTAATAGCAAAGGTTATAATAAAGGTAGTGTCATGGAAAACGATAAAATAAAATGTTATTCAATATAACGGGATTGAAAACTACATTCTTACATGAGGTAGTAGGATCTTTTTCACATTAGTGTCAAATTTTAAATTTGACATCTCATCTGAGAGCTGTTAGATCAAAAAAGATCAATGGTGTCACATGCTTACAAATCAGAGTCGTTTATATTTTTTGATCTAACGACTCTCAGATGAGATATCAAATTTAAAATTTAACACTGGTGTCAAAGAATCCTACCTCTTATATATAGTAACTATTCGTCATTAATACTCTGAATATCCCTTGCCGTGAAAGTTTCATGTTTTAATTGGGTGATTTTCATTATCATATATGGTATTGTTGTTCACTATACCTCTAAGTACCCACGTAGCATAATATGTTATCATGTTAATATGAAAAGGGAGATGTTATACTTACTATTCTTTTTTTTTTACTACCTTTTACTATTAAATATTAATTGTTGATTTTCGTCAATCTAACGATTGTAATTTATTGGGTCATACTTATTAATTTATTAATTTTCAATAAATTATAACTGTTAAATTAATGGAAATCAACGATTAAGATTTGATAACAAAAGATAATAAAAAAAAAGAAGAAGTATAACGCCTCCCCCTATAAAAAAAGGTTGATATATTTTGTTTGATTTGTGCTTTATAGAGTTGGTATTGAGTTGCCCACAGTGGAAGTGAGATATCAAAATCTTCATGTAGAAGCAGAGTGTAAGGTAGTTCAGGGCAAGGCCGTACCTACTTTATGGAACACGCTAAAAGAGTGGATTTTTGTAAGTGACTTATCCAAAAACATCAATATTTGGATATAACACTTTCTTTCTTTTTCTTTTTTTGCTCACTATTAAGACTGTTTTTCCCCTCCTTTTGTTCCTCTTTTTTCTTGAAAGGACACCACTAAATTGTCAGTTCTGAAATCCCAAAATTCCAAGATAAGCATCATCAAAGATGCCAATGGCATTATTAAGCCTGGAAGGTAAGTTTTTCAAAGCTCAATAGTGTTGTTGTCCTGTGATCATTCACTGTCAGTTATTATTCTTGTTTTGGCTGACTGTACATGATTTTCTATCCAGAAATAGTTATAAAATGTTATAAGATCCATTCCAACAGCTAGCTCTTGGATTATTACTTTCCAATTTATTTACAGCATATTTGAACATAATGAGGGGTTTTGGTTTGTTTGCTATGCCTTGATTCTGGTGCAGGATGACCTTATTGCTTGGCCCTCCGGCGAGTGGTAAAACAACATTATTGTTGGCATTGGCAGGAAAACTTAGCCATTCTCTCAAGGTTCTCAATCTCAGGGCTTTTTCCTGTAATTTATAAAATCCCTTCTTAAATAAGTGCAGTATGGAACTGTAATTTCTAATAATATAGCATCAAAGATAGACTAACCTTCTCTGAATATTTGGCGTTCAAAAGTGGCGTCCTAGTTACTAGGTAACTTAATCACAAAAGATTCGGATCTTTGGTAACATTATGTTAAATCCTTTCAGCATTGCTACTAGAGGTGTCAAAACGGGCCAACCCGCCCCGTCCCGCCTTCAACTCGCCAAAAGCGGAACGGGGCGGGTTGACCCGCCGTTTGATGGTGGGTTGGAAACATCAACCCATCCCGTTTTGAGGTGGGTTGGCGGGTCAACCCGCCTAAAAAACAAAAAATAATTAAAATTAATAATAAATTATATTTTATTAATTTTATAATATTACTTATTTTTATTTCACATTTTCCTTAATTTTTTTCAATCTTAAGCCTAAATATATGCTACTATTCATTAAGATATTTTTTAAAAACTTAATTTTGCCTCTATATATGGATAATCTTTGTCATAAGTAAAGTTTTTTTTCTTTATTTTTCTAGAGGAGTACTAAAATAAATAAAAAAATGTATATCACAAAAGCTTAGTGACAAATAAAATACTACCTAATAGTAAAAAAAAAAAAAAAAAATGACCCGCGGGCCAACCCGCCACCAACCCATTTTAACCCACTACTAAACGGGGCGGGTTGAAAAGTGTAACCCAACCAGCCCCGTTTTGGCGGGTTGATCTGTCGGGTTCAACCCATGTTGCCACCTCTAATTGCTACATGCTTTAGATTCAATAGTCATTTCTACTTGTTTTAATCTTCTGTCTCACTGCCCTTTTCTGTTTGGATTAATACCCAATGGACTAAAGATGAAGCCATCCCAACAAGCCTATTGCCATTCCTAACATTAACAATGAAATTATTTATGCATGAGGCAGAATGAACTCAATAATTGTATTTAATATATTTCACATTTCAAAATTTGATAACTCAAATATTCATTTAATAATCCATTTTTTCAAAAAAAAATGGATTATTAAATTTGATTATGAATCAATTTAAATAGATATAAAAATTATCAAATAGATATAAAAATTATATTTATATAGATTCATAAAATCAAAAATTAGATGCTAAAGTTAAAATGGATCTTTTCATGATTGTTCTCATGCATGCATTATAACAGGTTCAAGGGGACATCTCATACAATGGACACATGCTACAAGAATTCATTCCTCAGAAATCCTCAGCATATGTAAGTCAATCTGATCTGCATATTCCCGAGATGACTGTGAGGGAGACACTTGATTTCTCAGCACGTTGTCAAGGTGTAGGAACCCGAGCTGGTAGGTATAACTAAAGTTACTAAACTAAGTACACAAATAAATTGGCTTTAGTGATGACTTGTGTTCCATTTATGAAAGAACTTCTGATGGAAGTCAGTAGGAGGGAGAAAGAAGCAGGGATAGTGCCAGACCTTGATATAGATGCATATATGAAGGTACTGTACTATACATCTTTGTTTTGTCCACCTCCAAGTTTTGTTCAGTTTTCCCTAAGCTTTAACAAAAATAAGTTATGCAGATCCCAAAAACAAAAATATGTTTGATTTTAACTGTTCCTCGCATGTTATAAACACAGTTTATCCTGTTTCCTCACTTGATAAAATAATAATTGTCAGAAAATAATTTACAAAGTAATCAATTATTCTGCTATCTTTAGCATAAGAATGTTTGTTAGTGTAAAGAACCAATTCAACCCAAAAGCTTAAGCTGTTGGGTGAGACTACATCAATGATTTTATATATCTCAACACGCCCCCTCACACAAGAGCTCATTGAGCTTGAAGGGTGGACGATGCACAGGCCCACCTACCTGTGCGAAGAAAGAAATTCCACTAGAGAAAGTGGGGGGCGGTGAAGATCGAACCCGGTACACCGAGGCTCTGATACCATGTAAAGAACCAATTTAACTCAAAAGCTTAAGCTGTTGGGTGAGGCTACATTAATGATTTTATATATCTCAACAGTTAGTAACGCAAACACGACGGCAAGGATGGACTCCTTAGGAAAGTCAGCATGTACATCTGCTTCCATAGCTTTTTTAGTTTTTCCTTAGTATGTTGCTCACATCATCTTCTAACAATTGAGGAAAATTTGAAGTCAAAATTTCAAAATGTAAACTTTCTAATCCAGTTATATCCCTCTGTATTGAGTTTGCATCAACCAATAGGCATCTTCCTGAAAATTCACCATGGCCTGGTCAAGTTCTTTGGTTTTGATTTTGATGATATTTCTCTTCGGAAAACATCTTTAGCCCTTTTCTTTCTTCTAATCCTACATTTTCCATGTAGGCTATGACAAAAAGCAGGCAAGACACGGCCTACCAAATTCTATAATAAAAATTAATCAAAATTAGAAACATATCAAGCTTTAGTTTACAGAAAGTTATGATTGTTTACTTAACCCAATTCCAACATGTTTCAAACCCGAACTTCAGTGTGTTAAGTGTCTATTATTTGCATATCAAGTGACATCAGAAAAATTAGCAATAATTATTATTTTTTAATGCCAATAGGATAACCGGAGCATGACTTTGTAATTCATTACAGTCCTTTGAAAGCCTTTATGAAAAATTTTGTCCCGTGTCTTAATGACTATTACTTCAACTGAATTTTTTTGGTTACAGGCAACATCAGTTAAAGGACTGAAGAGCACCCTTCAAACAGACTATATTTTGAAGGTAGTCTACTCATTTTCTTTATGAAACTAGAGTTTCAGTGGCTTGGCTTGTCTATCATTTTCTTCACTAAATATTGTTCAGTTATTGACTATTACAATGACTTACAGATCCTTGGTCTTGACGTATGTGCTGATACATTAGTTGGAGATCATATAAGAAGAGGTATATCTGGTGGTCAAAAGAAAAGGTTAACTACAGGTATTGTTGTTATGCAATATAGTATGAGCTTATCAAACTTATAGACTTCTAGTGCATTAGTTGATATATGAAGTGACCGTGCTCCTGACTCTGGTGCATTATATAGGAGAGATGATGGTTGGACCGATGACAGCTCTATTTATGGATGAAATATCCAATGGTTTAGATAGCTCCACTACTTTCCAGATAATCTCCTGTCTTCAGCATCTGGTGCATATAACAGATGCCACTGCGTTAATTTCACTCCTTCAGCCTGCACCAGAGACCTTTGATCTCTTTGATGACATTGTCTTAATGGCAGAAGGGAAAATTGTCTACCATGGCCCACGTGATTATATACTTCAATTCTTTGAGGACTGTGGATTCAAATGCCCACAAAGAAAAGGCACTGCTGACTTTCTTCAGGAAGTATGTTAAGCCCACCCAATCATGTATCTCCATTGCTGACATGATAATTTTTGGAGTTTGATTATTATTAAATGATTGTTAAATCCAGGTTATCTCTAGAAAAGATCAAGCACAGTATTGGACCAGAACTGAAGAACCTTACAGCTATGTTGCTGTTGACCAGTTCATTGGGAAATTTAAGGATTGTCCTTTTGGTCAAAAGCTGGAGGACGAGCTCCTGAAGCCATTTGATAAGTCTAAGAACCACAAGGATGCTCTCACATTTAGAAAATACTCATTAACAAAATGGGAATTATTTAAGGCTTGTATGATGAGGGAATTTCTTCTAATGAAAAGAAACTCTTTTGTCTATGTGTTCAAGTCAACACAGGTAGTATTCTTTTTTTTCTTTTCTTTTTTTTCTTTTTTTTTTTGTGAGTGTGTGTGTTTTTCACTTCTTTACCTTTATGTCTCAATTCCTATACCCAACCTCTCAATCTTCTAAGTATCTTTTTATTCATTGTCCATGCAGCTTGTCATTGTTGCATGTGTGGCAATGACTGTTTTCATTCGAACACGAATGGCTGTTGATGTGCTCCATGGGAATTATTTTATGGGTTCATTGTTCTATTCACTCATCATACTTATGGTTGATGGAATGCCAGAACTGGCTATGACTGTATCAAGACTTGCAGTTTTTTACAAACAAAAAGAGTTATACTTTTTTCCTGCTTGGGCTTATACAATCCCATCTGCTGTTCTAAAGATTCCACTTTCATTGTTGGAATCTTTCATTTGGACAACACTTTCTTATTATGTCATTGGTTACAGCCCTGAGATTGGCAGGTTAGTCTTCAGTGGAAAGCTAACATTGTTCCTAAAATTTTCACTAGTATTATGTTAGATATGGTGAGTAGAGTTACATAAGACACTCTTGATACTCAGAAAATACAAGAAGGTTCTACATTTCAAGATGCCTCTTTGTCTCTAGAATATGGCACATGATATGCTTTATTTACAATGATGCTGGAGGCCTATCTAGTTGATGCATGCCGTTTCTTCACTATAAAAACTCTATAATTTCTGGCATCTTAACTAAGTTTTCACCTCAATTTTCTTCAGGTTCTTTCGCCAGTTCCTTCTCCTATTTACCGTACACCTGACTTCAGTATCCATGTTTCGATTCATTGCCTCAATTTTCCAATCCGTGGTTGCTTCTGTGACTGCTGGTACTGTGACCATGATATTTGTTTTATTATTTGGTGGCTTCCTCATACCAAAACGTAAGAATCCACAACTGCTTTATTTGTAGCGGTGAATTTTGTTCAGATGATTATGTTTAGCTGTTTTTCCATTGCAGCACATATGCCATCTTGGTTGCAGTGGGGATTTTGGGTTTCTCCAGTGACATACGGAGAGATAGGCATAGCTGTGAATGAATTTCTTGCTCCTAGGTGGGAAAAGGTAATCAATCGTGTCTAACTCTTAATTTTTGTGTTTCAAAGAACACACATTGCATGCAACTAAAAGAGTTGGCTTTGCCTCTCTTTCCTTTTTGATTAATAAGGTGACCAGTTAGCTTCATTTGGTCCTGGGGTAATTCAAGCCTCAAATAAGAATGCCTCTACCTCTTTGCTATCACAAGTTTTTTTCATTTTGTTGAGATAAGTACTCATAAATTTGTGAAGAAGCTACAACAAGAAGTCAATGAAAATATTTGTTGTCTTCAGCCTTTCATCTTAAAATTGTGTGTGACTCAACCTTAAGCCTTAGCCTTCTACAAATTGTAACTCATCTAATCATTTTGGTTTCTTTGTTCTTAATGAAGATGTCTGCAAACACAACACTGGGTCGGCAAGTACTTGAAAGCCGGGGGCTAAACTTTGATGGTTACTTTTATTGGATATCAATCGGTGCCTTAGTTGGGTTCACAGTGTTGTTTAATGCAGGTTTTACCTTGATGTTGACTTTCTTGAAAGGTAACTTCATCTACCATTGATTACTTGAGCATGTTGAGTAACAACACTTTCAGACCTGTAAGTTAATCTTCACTTTGACATTTTTCCATCAGCTCCTGCAAGGTCTCGTGCTCTTATATCTTCCGAGAAGCATTCAGAGTTACAAGGACAGCAAGAAAGCAATGGTGGCTTTGGTGCAGACAAGAAACATGCTGGTTCCCTGATTGAAAGTAATGCAGAACCCAAAAAAGGTGAGCAGTTGTCTAGTTCATGTGAAATTGTTTCTTTCCTTTTTAATTCTGCTGGACATATGATCTGCCAATGACATTTACTACTAAACTTAAACCTTGAATATAAAAAATATATACATGAGCACCTTTTTTATTTGTTGAAACTAATTTTCTCCTTCAATTCTTTCTTTCTTTCTTTTTTTTCTATATTTTCCAGGAGGATTGGTTCTACCTTTCCAGCCACTTACAGTAGCATTTTGTGATGTGCAGTACTACGTTGATACCCCTTTGGTAACTTTCATGGTTTTAAATTTCGCTAGTTGTTAAGTATGAAGAGTTGTTACATCCATGGACATGTTGGGTAATTATATCATATTGAATGCAGGAAATGAGAAACCGGGGTTTTACTGAGAAAAAGCTTCAGCTACTTTCTGACATTACAGGTTCATTCAGACCAGGCATACTAACAGCATTGATGGGAGTCAGTGGAGCAGGGAAAACAACTTTAATGGATGTTTTGTCTGGAAGAAAAACTGGTGGTACCATAGAAGGAGATATTAGAATTGGTGGCTATCCAAAGGTTCAGGAAACATTTGCTAGGGTATCAGGTTACTGTGAACAAAATGACATACATTCTCCAAATATAACAGTAGAAGAATCTGTAATGTTTTCCGCTTGGCTTCGGCTTCCTCCTCAGACTGATGCAAAAACTAAAGCTGTATGATTCTCTTCTTAATGGAGCATAATTATTTTTTTAAAATTCTGAGCTTGTTTACTGGGATTCATTTCCTCTTACAGCTTCCATCATTTATCAGGAATTTGTAAATGAAGTCCTTCATACTATTGAGCTCTATGGGATCAAAGATTCTTTAGTAGGATTGCCGAATATTAGTGGTTTATCAACTGAGCAAAGAAAACGGTTGACCATAGCCGTTGAGCTTGTTGCTAATCCTTCAATCATATTTATGGATGAACCAACTTCAGGTCTAGATGCAAGAGCAGCTGCAGTTGTTATGAGAGCAGTGAAGAATGTTGTTGGAACAGGAAGGACTGTTACATGCACCATTCACCAGCCAAGTATTGATATATTTGAGGCATTTGATGAGGTAAACTACAATCCCTTACGTATATTTTGCATGCATAATGAACACAGAAACCTATTTATCAAATTACCAAAGCTCACCACTTTCACTTCTGAGGTCAAACAAAATATACTTCTTAACCAGAACAATGTTTGATAGAGTTACAAAATCAGGTTACTGTACCGTGACATCTTAAAAAGAACCATTAGTACTTATTTAATATTATCTCTATTCATAATTAGATAAAGAACTTTGCATCCATATGGGAGACTTAAATCATAATTTTGTGGCACTTAAGTTTTTCTGTCTGCCTTGATGATGTATCTCAATACCCTATAAAATGCTCATATAGCAAGAAAAAATGGAATTTGGGGGAGACACTTCTAATGCCCATGAAGCTATGGCTTTCTATATTCATCCTCAACATATATTGATCATACTATAAAAGCAGAAAATGTATTATCCTTGAAGAGAAATGGCTCTACACATTAGCATGCAAAATGATTATCTTATTGTTTGGTCTCTTCAAGGGATGGTATGTTGCTAATTCAAAATTATACTAATTATGTTCCTTGTCTTGTAATCCCTTAAGCTGATTCTTATGAAAGCTGGAGGACGCATAATCTACTCTGGCACACTTGGAGAGCACTCAAGTAGGGTCATTGAATACTTTGAGGTCAGTTTTCCTAGAAGTATATCATACATAAATTATTTTGTTACCAAAAATGTAGTGTTGGTACTATTCTCTTGGAAACAAGAGAGTGATTGCATAATCTTGGTTTACATTCTTGCAACTTGTGTTCTATAGAGTATACCAGGAGTGCCAAAGATTAAAGACAACTATAATCCATCAACGTGGATGTTAGAAGTAACTTCAAGGTCTGCAGAAACTGAACTGGGAGTAGATTTTTCCCAAATTTATAGGGAATCAACCTTATATGAGTAAGTAATCTCAGAGAATTTTGTTTATGTACCCCTGCTTGAGAATTATTAGATTATAATTTCTAGTTCAAATTAAGATGGCGAGCCTTGGAGTGGCATAAAGGTTGTTCCTTGTTATCGAAAGGTCACGGGTTCAAGTATGGGAAACCACCTTTATGCAAAAAAATACAAGGGTAAAACTGCATACAATCGACACACACCGACACCCTCACAATTCGGAGGAGCTTGTGCACCAGGGTTTGCCCTTTTTATTTTCTAGTTCAAATTAAATCTTACTAGTATGTAGTATAACAAGCATAAATAGATTAGTGATTAATTTGATGGTTTATACAAAAATTTGAAACATAAATTCCTGGAGACTCTTTATTTCTCGTGTTTTTGGTCCTATATAATATCTCTCTAAGCCCAATATCAATTCAAATCTTTTTTATTTCATGAATGCACAAATAATGCAAGCAATAGTATACATTTATAGTGCTAGTAGAATGTATTATTGCACAGAAGAATGCATGTATATTGGATATTTTGTAAATGCAGACAAATGATGACACTAGGAATTTACAAAAACACTTCTTTAATATTAATGCATATGATCTCAACGTGATATTTACTCTTGCGAATGCAGACAGAACAAAGAGTTAGTTGAGCAATTAAGTTCACCACCTCCTGACTCAAGAGATTTGTATTTTCCGTCTCATTTTCCACAAAATGGTTGGGAACAGTTTAAAGCATGCTTGTGGAAACAGCATTTGTCCTATTGGAGAAGTCCTTCATACAACTTGATGCGCATCATGTTTGTGGTTGCCTCATCTTTTCTGTTTGGGATACTGTTCTGGAAGCAAGGAAAGAAAATGTTAGTGAGTATAATTCTACTCATGTCTCCCTCCATTAAGAAAATGGAAAATTGAAAATTATTTTTCCTAATATATCAAATGACCTTCAGATTGTAAAACTAAAGCTTTATTTTACCGTGTCTCCTCATTTGGTAATCATTTTAAAAAAAAGAAAATAGATTTCTACTCTTTAACATGCTTTAGAAACTTCGGATTGTATTTATTTATTTATTCTAAAAGTCAACTGTGACGTGAGTTCAAATCCTGCTGGCTGACTGATGTGAGGATTTTGTTGGTGAGTGATATGTAATTCTTCCCGAAAATCCTCAAAGAAATTGAGAGGTCTTTCCCTGACCGTAGTGGATATCGGTATCTAACTCCACTTAAACTTTTTCTTGTCCAAAAAAAAAAGTCTTGTGAAAAATGAACTGACATTAAAAAATCTTTTACTTATTTCACAGAAATAGTCAACAAGATGTGTTCAATGTATTTGGTTCAATGTTTGCTGCTACAATCTTCTTTGGGATAAATAACTGCTCAACAGTTTTACCATATGTGGCAACCGAGCGTAATGTTCTGTACCGTGAGAGATTTGCTGGAATGTACTCTCCCTGGGCCTATTCTTTTGCACAGGTTTAGTTCTCTTCAAATTATGGATTCACCATTTATTTTCAATTTTTTTAATTCAATAAGAAACTGGAGAAACCATTTTTTATTCTTGCTAATACTAGCTAAATAGTTTATATTTTCAGGGGCTGTTTTTTATTTTAATTTTTTTTTATTAATAGATGGTGTGTAATTCCATTATTGTAAGTTCTGGATGAGGTTGTTGGTCTTATATGATTTGCTTTAATTGAAACATGAAAAAATGTTGTTGATAAGCTCAAAGATTGAGCAAGAATCCATTAAATATTGCAATAATTTACTCAAGGATTCTATTTTGTTTTCATGTGACTCTTCCAATAATTATAGGGTAACTTGGATTTTTTTTTTTTTTTTTTTTTGTAGGTGCTAATTGAGGTTCCCTATTTATTCACTCAAGCTGCTCTATACGTGATAATCACATATCCTATGATGGGTTACTACTGGTCCGCTTATAAAATATTTTGGTTATTCTTCAGCATGTTCTGCAACATGCTATGCTTTAATTACCTTGGGATGCTCATTATTTCATTGACACCAAATGTTCAAGTGGCTTCTATCGCGGCTTCATCTTTCTACACAATGATGAATTTATTTTCTGGGTACTTTGTGCCACGACTTGTAAGTTTCATAATTGCCCATTTTGTTATGCTATATTTAATGTTGTTAAAATCGAGATCTTAAGTAAAATCGGAAAGAGATTAAAAAATCGTAATGTAAAAAAATTGTAAAAAATCATAAAAACGTAAAAGCGTTTGGAATATTAGTAAAATAGTTTTGATGGAAAAAAAATCGTAAAAACGTAAAATCGTAGTGATAAATCGAGATTTTAACAACAATGGCTATATTTGCAAATAATTTCTTCATGCAATATATATATATATATATGGGCTTAACATTTCTGAAGCCGCCGTAGACAGTGTTATCTGCAGCTGACACAGAAAAGTGAGCCCACAGCTTTTTTTAAAAAAAAAAAAAAAAAAACAGGATCCGGACGCGAATCCTGCCTTGCTGTAGGCAAAATGATTTCTGCAGCCGCTGCACCTACAGCAAGGCATGATCCGCGTCCGGATCCTTTTTTTTTTTAAAAGCTGTAGGGCCCACTTTTTTGTGTCCGCTGCAGATAACATTGTCTACGGCGGCTGCAGAAATGTTATATATATATATATATATATATATATATATATATATATATATATATATATATATATATATAGGGAAAACATTTTCTCCTTTTAAAGGAGAAAATGTTTCTCATGTTAGTGACTCAAAGCATAAGTGAGTCCTACTTTGAATTTTTTTCTCTTTCCACTATTTTGTGGGACCCACTTATGCTATGGGTCATTAACATGAGAAAAATTTTCTCCTTTAAAAGGAGAAAATGTTTTCCCATATATATATATATATATATGAGGCAGGATCCTTTGACACCGGTGTCAAAGAAAAAGTTTGACACCTCATTTGAGAACCATTAGATTAAAAAAAATCAATGGTGTCACATGTTTACAAATCAGAATCGTTGATTTTTTTTAATCTAACGGTTCTCAGATGAGGTGTCAAACTTTTTCTTTGACACCGGTGTCAAAGGATCCTGCCTCTCTCTATATATATATATATATATATATATAATTTTTTACATAAGTATCACTACTATATGTTGATGTGACTATATGGTAAAACCTCAAAAACTAGAGCATATTTTCGGTACTCAGTGAGTAGGTACTCCCTTTTCCGAAATGGAAAAAAAAAAAGAATATGGAAGGAAATAATTATAAAGGTAGGAGTAGTATAAATGTGTTACTTTTTTTAGATATTTGATAAAAGATGTACCAAGTGCTCGGTATATTTGATGTACAGGGAATTTTTTCAAAACTTGTACTAACTATGAGGGTTTGCATTCTTTTCTTTCTTTTTATATAATAAGCATTGCATTTTCATCTTCTTTCTAACGCATAAATAGCTGGTGTAATAATGCATCATATATGATAAGTTCACAATAATGTATATTATGGCTATTCTTGAAATGTAACACTAAAATATGCTTGTTTCCTCATTGCAGCAAATTCCTAAGTGGTGGATTTGGATGTATTATTTATGCCCCGTGTCTTGGGTACTGAACGGGATGCTTACTTCACAATATGGAGATATAACCAGAAATATATCCACCTTTGAAGAAACCAAACCAGTTGCTGTATTTTTAAAAGATTATTATGGGTTTCACCATGATTTTCTGGGTGTAACTGGTCTTGTTCTCATTGTCTTCCCCATTGTATTTGCCGTTCTATTTGCATACTGCATTGGAAACCTCAACTTCCAGAGGAGGTAAAATCATGCAAGAGTATCTATTCATTTATGTATCACTAAAATTAGGATTTTGTAAATGTCCTATAACAGGAAAATTGGTGTATCATGTTACAGAGACATGCTTTGGTGGGGTCCGCCAAATATTAGAAAAAGAAATAAAGAAAAAAGCATAGTACTGAAAAACGATCTGAGAGAGTTGGAGGGAAAAAACATTTCATGTAACATGAGCTTTGCTTTTCCTATCATTTGATGATAATAAACAATTTCTCGTAAATTTTATTATTTAAGTGGATCTTCATCCTACAAATAAAAGTAAAATGGGTCACGTATGGCCCGAGAGTACTTATTAGCTTAAAAATGGGTCATTCTAGGCCCAACCTTACTGGGCTTCTTTTTTTTGTGTAGTTCTCGCACCATTGATAATAAGGACATGCACGTAACCATGAGATACACATGGACATAGACAAACTTATCCTGTTATGTACCCCTTCAGTGAAATAAATTCATATCATAGCTTATGGTTTCTCTACGGATCACGGATGCTATTAACTTTTCTTCGTAGAATAGTAGTCATACACATGGATCTTAATATACCCCTTCTCAGAGGGAATAAGTGTTCTTTAAACTTGTACAACTTGGATCTTAATCATTAGCTTGTTCTTAAAAAATAAACAGGATAAAAATATACACATGGATATGGACAAAAACTTATTTTATTGTCCACTCATCAGTGCTATAAATTCTTGAATACATGTAAGTATATATGTATATGTATAAACATCTTGCAAGATATGTCTTGCTAAATGCTAAATGCTAACTGCTGTAGCCTTGTACTTCTATACTTGTATACTTGTATACGTGAAAATTGTAGCCACCATACTGCAGAAGAAGCAATCTGTATGTGTGTCTTATCTCTTTTGGAAATTCATTTTCCCAATGCAATAGGCAAAGAGAGAGGCATAAATGATTGGAAAAGCAATGAGCACCACGGCCACAATGCTTAATCTGTCATGCCGAAATCCGTAGTAATCTTTTAGAAAGGAACCAACTGGTTTTTGCTCCCCAAATATGAGTATCTCCTTGTCCATGTCTCCATATTGTGAAGTTAGGAGGCCATTCAGGGACCAAGCTGTAGGGCAAATCCAGTAGCACCAAACCCACCATTTAGGAATTTTCTGCATATAAAAAAACTTAGTTACTATCTCAGGCTTAAAACATCTAGTCCAATTTGGTATGGACTATAGACATTCACCAATCACACCCCCCCATCAAATATATGAATTAAGTTACTGATATTACTCAGGATGGAGCTAATGTTGATAGTTAGTATGATCCTTTAAAGATAGAATGGAACCTAAAAGAATGACAATAACATTTTGGGGAAGGCTGTAATTTATTTTGAAAGGAAACATTTGAAAGAGACTGGATTACTCTAAAAGCTTTTTGTTTGTGTCCTGCTTCCTTTTCACACAATGAGGAATGTTGTGGGAAATCACTTCAGTAGTAACAAAATGGCTATATCAACTCATTTGTCTTTGCATCAAGTCATGCTTTTTTCCACATGTTATATTTAGATCCAAATATAACTCAGCTACAAATTCAGGCCCTTATGGTGCTATAAAGACTACACTATCTGAAAGAAATTTAGGGGAGATCCAGAAGACTTACCGGTCCTGGCATGAGGAATCCAGAAAAGAGATTGAATATGGTGTAGACTGCAGTTGACAATACCGAAGCTATGTCCAGATTTGAGCTCAATGACATTATCAGCATTCCCAGATATGTGAAGTATAAAAATGTACAGAATGTGGTGTAGAAATACCAAAAGACTTTCTGAACTGACCAATGGAAACCTATCATTGGATATGTGATAGCCACATATAAAATTGCTTGCACTAAGATATATGGTATTTCAATGGCCACCTACATCAAAAAAGAATGTCTATTAAAAAACATTACTGGTTTTCCTATCAAATAAATACCACTTGAATTTGTTTGAAGTAAATTCAAACCTGTGCAAATGAATAAGCCATGGAAGAATACATTCCCGCAAACTTTTCTCGATACAAAACACTGCGCTCAGTTGCCACGTATGGTAGAATTGTTGAACAGTAATTTATGCCCAAGAATATTACAGCAATATACATTGATCCAAGTACGTTGAACAAATCCTGCTGATTGTTTCTTTAACGATAGAAAAAGTATAAGTGAGACCTTTATCGGTACAACTTCGAATTTAACACTATACTAGAACCATGCCAACACTAAGAAATGTTGTCTGATCATAAAATGCAAGAGACATGGCAGTTATAATTAAGAATGTTTTATCCTGATTATATATGTTCTTTATATAAAATATCAGTCGTCTTCTGCTCTGAAAATGTACTAATAAGGCATGTTAAACTTGGTGGTTATCACAATAAAGGTGTTAAAAGTACTATGTTAGGATTTCAGCTTCTTTCTGTTGAATAAATTTCTCAAAAATAGAAGAACCTATATGTTATTTTTTCCCACCTGAGTCCATTTGTTGAAGAAGACAGCCAGTGAAACTGTAGAAGCATTTGGTTAAAACACTACAGCTAAACTGTCTGGGATTTGAGATTGTGCAGATTCTATTAACATACATATTTATTTTCCAGATTGAATGCATGAGTTTGATTTCTATGCATATTACATGTTAGTAGTGAAAGCAAACGTACATTTCTTTCCCTTTCTGCCAAAATACTGCCCCAAATATTATTGCTGCAACAACCATGAACACGAAACGTATTAAGTTGTACTCAGGACTTCTCCAATAGGACAAGTGTTGCTTCCATAGGCATGCCATAAACTGCCCCAAGGTACTTTGAGGGAAGCGAGTTGAGAAGTGTAAGTCTCTTGAATCTGGCTGTGGTTCACTTAGCTCTCTCACCAATTCAAGGGTATCCCTAGAAACAGAAATAGCAATTCAAAACTTAGGATCAATGCTCTTTCAAATGTATGATGAATATCATTACAACTGAAACCAGTTAGGGCACATAAAACCAAAAAACAAAAGTTTCTATATTTTTGTGAAAAGAAATGACAGCCAACTGGACACTCACCGGTGAAGGTGTGACTCTTTATAGATTTCTGCAAAATCTATTTTAAGTTCTTGTTCTACAGATGCAGAGGTAGCTTCCAACATCCAAGTTGCAGGATTATAATTGTCCTTGATCTTTGGCACTCCAGGTATATTCTGATGGACAATGAGCAGTTTTAATTATCTAAGTCTTAACCAGTTTGTTATCAGTCACTCACCTCCTTAAGACTATTGCAAGAAAAGGACATTAGAAAATAAGATGATCATTGATCTTTCCAGAATCCAAATTGCTACTATGTACTTTCGAGCTGGTTTGAGCATACCTGAAAATATTCAATTAGTCTACTTGAATGATGACCTAGCATTCCACTGTAAATAATCTGTCCTCCAGATTTCATGAGAATCAACTGCATGAAAAATATCTCATTTTTAGTTGCTGACCTGTATGTTATCCCAATCAATATGACTGAGAAGATAATATGATGCAGTTTATTTGAAGATTTGCAAAGAAGGGAAATATATAAATGAAATGAAATGTTGAATAGATATAATATCCCTGAGGTCATTTATAATAGAGTAAACACTATTTTTGGTCCCTGACAATATCTACGAAATCCTTTTTAGTCCCTGGCAATAAAAAAGGACCAAAATGGTCCCTAAAATTATGAAAAAAGGGCCACATTAGTCTTTATGTCAACTCCTCCGTCACTAACGTGGCCCTTTTTGCATACTGTTAGGGACCAATTTGGTCCTTTTTTATTGCCAGGGACTAAAAAGAATTTCGTAGATATTGTCAGGGACCAGAAAGGGTGTTTACTCTTTATAATATTATAGTAGGAGTGGAAAAAGCTCCTATAATAAAGTGAGCTTGCATGTAAAGTGAAGAAGTATATCCACTCTTTAATTTTAGTGGGTTAAAATCACAATGCAGTTTAACTTAAATCAAAGATAGATACACCCTTGCTTGCTCACTTTAAAAGAGCCTTATCAGGAGTGAAGTAATGTTATTCTGTACATTAAGATAGAGATTTATTATTTATATATTAAAAGATGTAATTTCTCAAATATTATCAACAAAAGGCACTTTGGAATACCTCATCAAAAGTCTCAAATATGTCAATGCTTGGTTGATGTATAGTGCAAACCGTGGTCCTACCAGTGGCAACAACATTCTTCACTGCACGCATAACAACTGCAGCTGCTCGGGCATCCAAACCTGATGTAGGTTCATCCATAAAGATTATTGATGGATTGGAAACAAGCTCCACGGCAATGGTTAGTCTTTTACGTTGTTCGGTAGATAAGCCACTTTGGCCTGGGATGCCAACTAAACAATCCTTTATATCATCAAGTTCAATTGTTTCAAGGACTTCTTCAACAAATTTCTGCTCAAAATATATACACAGAAAGTTACAATATACATCTGTTATCTGACAAAGACAAACCAGTGTGCAAGTGTTAAGCATGTCATACCCCTTTTGTGACTGAATCAATCTCTGTAGGCAACCGCAACCAAGCTGAGTACGTGACAGATTCTTCAACTGTTATATATGGAGAATGTATGTCGTTCTGTTCACAGTAACCTGAAACTCTTGCAAATGTCTTCTGCACTTTGGGGTATCCACCAATTCTTATATCTCCTTCAATGATACCTCCAGTTTTTCTTCCTGAAAGGACATCCATGAGAGTTGTTTTCCCTGCTCCACTGACTCCCATCAGTGCACTAAGTATTCCTGGCCTGAAGGCTCCTGTGATATCACGGAGCAATTGTAGTTTTTTCTCATTGGAACCATGTTTTTTCATCTCCTGTTCAGAAGTTAAAACTCAATTGACAACCTTGTAAACAATATACACAATCAAGAGTCATGAGAACAATATAGTTGTGCTTATTACCGGAGGGGTGTCAACAAAATACTGGACATCCTTAAATGTTATTGTCAGTGGCTCAAAGGGCAGGACCATTTTCCCTGTATGAACAACCATGCAAAAGATACCAATTTTTCTTACTATTTGTTTGAAACTAAGAACTCATCTTTGAGATAATTTATCATGAAGTAACTTTATTAACCTGTGCTTTGAGTTTCCTTTGATGTGCGGCTAATATCAACTGTGATTGACTTATTTTTTAGTTCCACGCTTTCGCTTCTTTCTCCTCCCTTTAGTTGAGAGAGCCTCTTTTTTGAAACTAAAGCTCTAGATGTCTTGGGCTCTGAAATACATTTCCCATCAAATCAATGGATTGAGCAAAATAAAAAAATTCTTTGATTTTTTTTTCCTTGTAATAACTTAGATAAGACTTACCTTTTAAGTATGTTAATGCCAAGATAAATCCAAAATCAAATAGAACTGTGAAACCAAGTAAGACTCCAACTGATAGCCAGTAGAAGTTGCTATCAAAGTCTAAACCACGACTACTAAGAACCTCCCTTCCTATGGTGATGTTTCCCTCTTGGATCTGCCAATGAGGGGAAAAAAAATTTAGAATATACACATTTAACTGTGTCCTATCATGAAGCCAAATAAATTATCTTAAAAGATACCTTCTGCCAGCGAGGAGCAAGAAATTCATTCAGTGTTATTCCTATTTCCCCATATGTCATGGGAGAAAGCCAAAAACCCCACCTCAACCACCATGGCAATGATGCTGCAGTGAGTAAACTCCATGAGTAACTTTGTAATTAGTACTACATATTATAACTGTAAAGAACTTTGGATACACCACTCCAAAAGCTAACTCAAAGGGTGGGAGTGTCCAAGACCTTATAAACTCCAAATTAGTTGGCTCATACAACCAATGTGGGACTATATATCTCAATAATAACAAAAAGACTATAGAGCAGCTTACGTCGAGGAAGAATAAAGCCTCCAAACAAGAACATCAGTACTAATACCAAGGAACCAACAGTTGTAGCTGCAACATCAGTTTTGAAAACTGAGGCAAGGCAACGACACATGGAGGTTGATGACATATGCAAAGTGACAAGCAAAAGAAACTGGCGCAAGAACCTAATCCAATGAAAAACATAAGAAACACTTTAAAAAAACACTGGAAAATAAAAAGACAAGTGGGATATTTTGTGTATGGAGTTAAACAAAGCCCTTGCCTTGTTATTTCAGGGCTGTAGCCTATAACATAATATGTCACTGATGTCCAAACAATAGAATCAAGAACTGAAAATGGAATCTTTAGAATGGAAGCTGGAAGACAGTAAGCCCAAGCTGGATAAAGATAAAATGCCTTCTGCTTATAAACAACAGGGAGTCTAGTAATAGTCATGATTAACTCAGCAACTCCATTAGTCATGAGGCGAACAAGTGTGTAGTACAATGATCCCAATAAATAGTTTGCACCTATCAAGTCCACAGCCGACTGAGTACGTAAGAACACTGTCATTGTTATGATTGCAGTGATTGTAAGCTGCAAAATAAGAAAAAGAAACAAGTAAGATTGAAGTAATTGATTAACGTGTTGAGGTGCAACTTAGTTGAATTGAACTTGATACTAACCTGTACAGTTTTAAATATATAGATAAATGAGTTTCGTCTCATGAGGAGAAGTTCTCTCCTCATACAAGCTTTAAACAATTCCCATTTTCCCAAGGAGTACTTGCTAAATGATAAAGGATTTATATGGGATTGTGATTTATCATATGGCTGTGAGAGCTCATCATCTAACATCCGTCCCCAATAACTTGTTTTGAAGATTTGACAGAACTCATCTACTGAAACATAATTGTAAGGAACATCTGTGCGGTACCAGTATTGCCTTTGATCCTTCTTAGAGATTACCTGTACAATACATAGTTGCAATTTGTAACTTGTGAGGCTATGAGACTGGATTAAACAAGTGCAGAAATTAACTTGAGCTTTGACTGTAAAGAACCTTGGGATACACCACCCCAAAAGCTAGCTCAAAGAGTGGGAGTGTCCAAGGCCTGATAAAGGCCTTATAAACTCCACATTAGTTGCTCATACAACCAATGTGGGACTATATATCTCAACACGCCCCCTCACACAAGAGCCCATTGGGCTTGAAGAGTGGATGATGCAACAGGCCCAGCCTACCTATGCTAAGAAACTCCACAAGAGAAAGTGGGGGGCGGCGAGGCTGGGATACACCACCCCAATAGCTAGCTCAAAGGGTGGGAGTGTCCAAGACCTTATAAACTCCACATTAGTTGCTCATACAACCAATGTGAGACTATATATCTCAACAGACTCAAACTGAATGGTGGCCTAAGTTCCCAACAAAGGAGGGGGAATCGTTTGTTATCTCACCTCTTGAAGAAAGTCTGCCACTCCTTTTCTTTCTGGACACCAGAAACCACAATCCTTGAAAAATTGGAGTGCTTGACTGCAGGGGCCATGGTATACTATCTTCCCCTCTGCCATCAATATAAGATCATCAAATAACTCAAAGGTTTCTGGTGCTGGTTGAAGAAGTGAAAGCACTGCAGTTGCATCTGTGATGTGCACCAATTGCTGGAGACATGTAACTATTTGAAAGGTTGTGGAGCTGTCCAAACCAGTTGATATTTCATCCATAAAAAGAGCTTTTATTGGACCCACAATCATCTCTCCTGCCATATGATTTGGAAAAAAAAATTAAATGGATACATTAAGGAAAAAATATTTATGAAGAATAAATAGTTTTATTTGCAGCCTAGGCAGAAATCTCACTAGCCTTTGATTTATCACTGGATGCTGGGCTAGTAAAAAGGTGAGGCTTCTCATATATTTTCAATCAAGAGAAGTTCTTACAAGGAGAATATTGAGTTCTGAGTTTTTTTAATTGCAACCAAATGAAAAAGAAAAGAGGGCGAGCCTAGAGGAGTAGTAAAGTTGTTCCTTTGTGACTGAAAAAGTCACGGGTTCAAATCCGGAAAACAGTCTCTTTGTAAATATGCAAGGGTAAGGTTTCATACAAGGATTGCCCTCACCCCTACTCTAGTTAGTTGAGGTTTAATGGAGAGTGATTTTAGTGGGTGAGCTATAGAGAAACGGTAAGGTTGATCCTTATGACCGGAAGGTAATGGATTCGAGTCTAGCAAACAGCCTCTTTGCCTTTTTTTTTTTTCCCTTTTAACAAAATGACAAAGAAAACATTATTTATCTTTCCAGATACCTGTAGTTAGCCTTTTCTTCTGTCCACCTGAAATGCCTCTATCTAGTGCATCACCAACCAGTGTGTCAGCACAGATATCCAGTCCGAGAATCTATTATATCATAAGTTTGTATTAACATGTCAATAAAGAACAGAAACATCGTAAGTGAGCCACTTAATAACCATGTACTCTATAACTCAGTCATGCTTGAAGCAGATGTACCTTTAAAACATATTCTGTTTGAAGATTTTCACTTTGTCCTTCAACTGAAATTGCCTGCAAAAGTCTTGTTATTTTCTTTGTCAACTTGTTGCTTTCTCGTTATGACATATAAGTTGTCCTTAGGACAATTACCTTCATATAGGTGTCAATATCTGGGTCAGGGATGATTCCTTCTTCTATTTCTCTCCTAGTGATTTCAGCCATTATATCTGCAATACAAAGGATATATGTGAATGCCTACTAGTATTTTACTAGTTACCATTTAGTGGATAATCTAGGTTTGAATAAGTAAGAAACATTACCAGCTCTGCTTCCAACCCCCTGACAGCGTGCCGAAAAGTCAATTGTTTCTCTGACTGTCATCTCAGGAATGTGCAGGTCATACTGGCTTATGTAAGCTGATGTTTTTTGAGGAACAAATTCGTCTAGCTTGCAACCATTGTAAGAGATTTCTCCAGTGACCTAAAGATAAGTAAAAGCGGTAGGATATCACAGGGATTGTAGTGTAGGGCAATACAGTTGGCTCAATGCCCTACATTAGTTTTTGAAAGACTTTTAAGAATGAATAAGCAACAATTGTGCTGCTAAGAATATTCTTGATTGGTTTAAGTTATGCTCAAACATAATTTCTATATGATTATGACAACTCAGATAGAAAAGGTAACTTGAACTCAATGACTTTGTCCAATAATTTCACTCTATATTACTGTGTGTTTAAAATACTGACCTTGAGAGATTGGTCTAGTTTTCCGGCCAGTGCCATTAACAAGGTCGTTTTCCCACAGCCTGGTGGACCAAGAAGAAGAGTGAGCCTGCACTCAGAACCATATTTGATGACTTAGAAATTCGGTCCCTTCTATTGTAAGCTTTATCATTTTTATTTTTATTTTTTATCACACTACCATATCCGTGTCTTAAAGGAGCTTTTACTACTTGTGAATTTTAAGGGATTGAATTCTGAAAGGCTCTGCAAATGCATGTGATTGAGCACACATTCATGTGAACATGAACACTTCCTAATGTTCTAAAGTGACATACACATTTAGCATTTTCACTTACCTTGATGGTTTTATGATGCCACTGACATCATTCAGAATGCTTATATTGGCTCCTTGAGAATTACAGGATATAGTCTTCATAAGACCCTGTTCAAGTGATAAATTTAGCCCATATTTGCATAAACAGAAGCAAATATCTCTTTGCTTTAAAAAAAAAAAAATTCAGTATCTCATATGTTGCTTTCTATTACTTAGTTTTGCTTGATATTGGCCTATTTGGGAGAAAGCATACTTACTGAAAATAAGCTAAAAAGAGAGTTCCATAGAGTAGGTAGTGGCTTCCCTTGAACAACATCACATTCTGCTTCTACATTCAGGTTCTTGTACTTGACCTCCACATTAGGTAACTTCACATTAACTCTGAAAACAACCAATTTGTCAATTCTTGAAACTGAGTGACATAGAGTGACTCTCTAGCAACAAGGAGTGTATGTCTCTCTACACGATTAGAGTGGGAAACTAAATAAAAGGAAAACCATCGAAAAAATAGAATGGGGGCAAAACAAAAAGGAAGTTTTTTCAATGTTGAAAGACAAATATAAAGTGACCAACATAGGAACTAGAGAAAACAAGTCAAAAGCTATCCTATTTCAGAATTGGATATCAAAAATATCTGTCATCAAGAAGACAAATACCTGAAGGGCTGTCAATACACCACAATACCAATTCCTCTAACAAATTGTTACCCTTTTTGGTGTTTGTACTAACACAAAAAACTTCTTTTGCAGCATGATTGAGTCAAGTAAAAATACCTTTCCATCCTTTCTCTTAGTTTCTGCAGCAGTTGGAGGTTATCATTCTCAATGTGCTTTATGAGCTTGTCAATTAACAAACGCTTTTCAACTGCTCCAAGCTTGGTAACATCAACCACCCTTCTGCTACTGCTTTGTAACATCAACCTCACATCCTTGCTGCTACTGCTTTCAGTCTCTTCCTGACTGACATCAACAAAAGAAGTTTTAATTCGTTTGAAAGTGGGTAATTTTTCTATAGCAGCCCACTTTGACAGAAGCTCCTTATCTTCCTCCACAAAAGAATCTGCATCTCTATCAAAGTTCAAGACATGGCCTTGATTTCTTCCTCTTGGAGTTAACTCCATTGGAATTGATGAACTTGGCTTTGCTTGAAGCACCTACTTGAGATGTTAAACACCAAGCTCCTCACAAATATGATGTCAAAAGTTGCCAATGATTGTTACAGATTGTGGGGTGAAACATGGAAGCAAAAAAAAAGCTAAAAAAAACAAAGCCTTCACGCAGAAAACTGGAGTGTCTTTCTCCTTAAAAACAACGAAAGCACTTATGAAACACCTAAAGCAGCCACTACTTGAATGGCCCCTTGATAGGGAAACAATCCAATCTGGTCATATGATAGTCAAAGGTTCATTCGTTAACCATAAAGAGAGTTGTTTTGTTACATCTACAACACTACAAGGGTTGTTGGAGCTTGTTTATTTTGGTGCTTCTCCCTTTCCTTTAATTATTTTTTTCACTCATCGAAAGTCCTCGTGGGAAATTGTTTTTCTGCATAAAAGCTTTTTCTTTTTAATTCATATTATAATGACAAGTCATTGTCTTTGAATCATAGTTAGTATCTTTTACTTTTCTATTAGCTAAAAAGTTCTTTAATCCACGTTTGTTGTAATGTTGTCCTAGCTTTTGCACGCCAAAGGATTGATTATGAATCATGTGGCTATAATGTAAGTATTTTTTCGGGGAAGACGCCAAGGATTCGTATCAATAAAACGCAATCTTGGCTTTTTTACTGTAACGGAGGGCTACGTAGTACTATATTTTTTATTTATGTAATATATATTATATTTAATATTCAATAATTTAACAAAAAATGAAGTTAAACTCATAATATCCATCAATTTTGCAAAGAAGCATAAGATATCTCAAATATTTATATTAAGCTCAATAAAATGATAATCGTAATCTAATTAATCTAATAGTTGAAGCTAAAAATGCAACGCAACTCAACCTCTGAATCATTATTTGAGTTTCTACAACGCGTGTTGGAGTGTCAGAAAGTGTTAGAAAGTGTCGAACACGATACGTCAGGATTTTTAAAGTGTCGGTACTTCATAGAATCGAACCATGGATTTTTCATAAAGCAAACTAGAAAAGAGGAAGGAAATCATCTTATACTTTTTTCTATTAACAAATAACGTGATGTTATGTACTAAAATAATGTGATGTTATTTATTTCATTTTTTAAAACTGTTAAGAGTTTTTGTTCAACAGAAGATCAAAATGTGATTAAAAATTATCTGATACTTAGCTTTGCATTATCACTTTGTCTACCCTTCTTTTCTCTCTTTTTTATCGGCATGCCTGAATTTCATGGAAATTCATTGTAAATTCTAGCATACATTTGTTGAATGGCTAACTATGCTTATATGCATGTGGACTTCAAAGTCCAATGGCGGCTAGCTGAATAAAAATCTGCTGAAATAGCCTGTGATTTCATATATATATTTTTTTCAATGCTATGACATATCTAGAAAATGGGATTGAAGAATTTGCTTTTTTTTATACTAGGTGAAATGTGCAAAGCACATGTTGTATTCAATCTTTAAATTCTGCTCCATCAGTATGACCTGTACAAAATTCTAAGATTGTAAAAATACAAATTAAATTGGAGGAGGATTTGATTATTTAAGAATAAAAGTATTTTTAATTGATATGGTTTATATTATTTTCTCATATATGATTATTATGCACATGTGAGATATTAATATACAATTACAATGTGTCATCCAAAGCGTTCAATAGTTTAAAATTTCAGATGATTAAGAAGAATATGATTTATTTACTTTGATTATTACCCATGCTTCAGGTCTCAACTACACAGGTGGTAAGTTACCTGATGGGTGTGCTTAAGTCTTGGTGCTCAAGTGGTAAGATAACTTGTAAAAAATGATAACTTTAATAATTTGCGCGATAATTAATCTCATATTAAAATAGTATAGAAAATCTAGTTAAACTCAAAAAAATCACTTTAAAAAATTAATTATTTATAAATCTTTTAGACGGTCTAAATGTTAGATACTTATTATATGTGTCGCCAAGCATTATTTTTCTCTATAAAATGGGCAGTTTTTTTAGTTTACATATTACTTTAATATTCATTTTTTAAAAGGTATTAGTAGCAAAGCTGAATTTTTTAATTATTGATATGAATAATTAAAAAATCAACAACCCTCTTAAAATATGATTCTTTTATAGGTATTATGTAAACTCCCATAAAGTCTATAATTAGTTAATTCAACTATTTCTCCCTTAAAAAATTTATTATACTTCAATTCCGTGTCCTAGAGGATTATCATATGGGTTCCACCACCGTAACTAATTATTGACTTTTCCAACATTTATTCTCCTGTACGTGATCTAGTATTGTGTATGTATTACGACTCTGGTTTAAAATAAAATTATAAATTATAAATTATATATTTAAAAAAATATAATTATAATATTAAAAATAAGAAAATATTATGTTTATAAAAAAATTGTTTATAAATTTTTACAAACTACACTATGTTTTTTCGGAAGAATACTAGGTTACATTATATTTTCTGAGAGAATGTAATATATTTATAAAAAAAAATTGTAAACACATCTTTTTCATTAAAAATATATATATATTATGTTTGTATTAATGGGATGTAATTACTACAATAATATATTTAAAACAATTTCTCTGGGTGTCTTTTTCTTTCAGCCTCCAGCACTGAGTGCATGTGCTTTGCTGTCTTTCTTGTCTCTTTCTTATTTTTTAATTACTACTTGTTACACAGTTTTCAATTGAAGTCATGGAAATTTCACGTCAACCAAAACAAAAGTTGAAATAGTAACATTAACGCGCAATTGGCTTGGTGCTGTGTCCCACGGGTTCGGGCTGTAAGTATAGAGAACTTGACTTTGAATCTTGGTAAACACATTTTGTGGATAGTGAAGAAAATTTTGTCCTCTCAATTCGCGAAAGGGATTAGTCTCATCCTATGTGGAGTGGGTATACCCTTGGGTTCACTCAAAAAAAAAAAAAAACACGCAATTAGGGCTGATAAACAAACTAGGAACATTTGGCCTGACTCGTGAAGAGCTGAGTTTATATGTTTAAAATTGATTGTTAAAATTAGATTTAGACTTATATAAAAATTCGTTTAATAAAAAAGTCTCAGGTTTTAATTCAAAAACATGATCTTAGAGCCTTTAAGGCTGACCTAGTATACTAACTTTTATTTTTATTTTATATTTTTTATAATACTCAAATAGCCCTCTCTCTTCATCCTATTTCACCCCAATTTATTTAGGAGTGTTCATCAATCAATTCAAAACGCGATAACTGAACCGAAAAATTGATAACTGAATTAACCGAAAATCAAAAAATCGAAAACCGAAAAAAAAAAAAATTAATTGGATTGGATCGGTTTTCGGTTTGATTGGTGAAAACCGATCCAATCCAAACTCATCCAATATATTAATTCTCTTTCCATAATAATATCCCAAAAAAATTTAAACCAAAGACCCATTAACCCTCGGCTAAATCCAAGAAAAAATCTAGTCACACTCCATCAGCAAAATTTCATTTGTGTAGAGCTTTATATCTCATTGTCCAAAAATAATTAGATTACCATTTATTGATACTTCTGTATTTAAAAAAATTACAAAGCCAATACATACTAAAGATATGTTATCTGCAAAATAATTATCAAACAAATTTTAGGCTTTTCAAAAAATCGAAAACCAAGCCAATCCAAATCGAAAAAAATTGGATTGGACTGGATTGGATTTAAAGAAAAATCAAACCGAATGGATGATTATATGATCAATCAGATGATTTTTGCTTCCAAAACCGATCCAATCCAGAACACGAACACCCTTAATTTTATTGGTTAAACAGACTTTTTAAATGATTTTATTCTATATTATGCTATTTTGATATGCATTAAATTTATGAATCTTTGTGAAATTATTAACACTGTTGATCGTATATTTTGTTTGGATAATTTTTTGTTGACTTATTTTTTTTTAACTGGTTAAACCAGACTTTTATTTTTTGTAATAAGTCAGGTTACGAGCCGATAATTATATTCATAACAGTAAACATACTAGGTCATACTGAGATATTTAAAGACATGGTTAAACAAAATCAAAGTTTCCCATTAACACCCCTACGCGCAATATATGAGTTAGGAAAATATAACTTCAAAACTCTTTACAACATTTAAAGTGTAACAATTGAGTATTTCGTATTTTAAGTTTCATATCTCCATTTTAAAATTTTAGAATAAAAAAGTATATCTATTGTATTTTCTTTCCGAATTTTTTATTTTTATAATAAACAGAAACAAAACAATTTCTTAATCCAAAACTTAAAAAACATATGAAGATGATATCTTAGTGATTCATGGTCATGTTACAACTCACAATGAAACGACATGACGACGTTGGTAAAGAATTTTTTAGAACCTCCGTTTAATTCATTTTGGGTTGTTGTTAAAAGAGGATTAGAGTTAAACCATTCGTGAGTATATATAGATCAAAATTCAAGCTTATGTTTTGCTATTTTGAAGTCGTAAAGAGACAGCAGAATTCAATATTTAAAATGGTTGATAATTTTAACTACCTGTAATATCATGGTAAATGAGAGTAGATTTTCTGATATAATATGACATTATTTAAAAGAATTTCAACCATTGAAATATAAATCAATCATAAAAATGAGAAAAAAATGTATGAAATTAAATGATAAAAATAATAATTATTGATTTCTATTTAAATGATTGAGATCCCGACCTTATGTTATGTGAAAACATCCATTTTTTATAGACAAAAATATTTTGAATGAATAATACTTCTATAATACTAAAATAATATAATATTAAAGACAAAAGTTACATCTCATTAAGTTAAAAGAACTTTAAAAATAACAAAGAAACATAAACAGGCACATAATTTAATTAGACGTCGAATATTTTTAATCAAAATATAAGATATCAAAAAAAATTAGTTATTTTTATATCTAATTAATGGACTTTTTAAACATATAGTAGTATATTTAAGAAGTCTCTCTTGTCATCAATTTTGTTTTTTTTTTCCTTCCAATTGCAAAATCAATTAGAATGCAAGAAATTGAAAATAATTCAGGCCTTTTCACAGCCCAGCCCACAATTTTTGGTCGGGTTATTTATGCTAGCTCATAGTACTCAGGACATTTGCACATGCAAGTATAACCTTCGTTGTTGTTTTTTTTTTTTTTTTAATACAATGATAGGAATTGAATCCATGATCTAATACAAATTATTTAAATTCTTCGTTACTAGATCAATCTTAGTGACTTAT